ACTAACGGTTAGAGAAACTTTCATTCTGCATATCATGCTTAAACAACACTCTCATCTACGTTATAACCCAGATCTTTTTAAAAATAAACGCCGCAAAGATATAATATGCCTTTGTGTTGTGACCTGTAACCCAGGTTTTGAATATAAAACCTATAATAGGCACCAGTCTCTCACAACGCTGGGTCCTTACTGTGTACATTGATATTGTTAACCAGGCAATAAGTTGTGAAGAGATAAATAAACTAAACTAAATTGAAATATTTGTGCAATCCAATGTTCCTATTTATTTCCCAAACGCTTTGACCGATTTCGATTCAGTTTTCTGTAAAGGCTTTGTAATTCATCAAATATGGCTTTTATATCGGTGTTATGGTGTTAACTCGCCAAGGAGCGTTGCAATAAACATTTTTCGCTTATTGTAGTGAAGTTTTCCCCGAGAAGTATTGAATTATTTAGATAAAGTTATCGATATCACATAGCATTTTTGGGTTCTGAGAGGAATCACTATGTTAATGCCATCATAATAGATATATGTATATTTAAGACAGCTTTGTGGTCTTTCTTCGGCTTCCTCGATTTATGACACGAGCAACGTGATTCTCAATCACTATAATTCCTCCAAAGCTATACTCTTATGCGGATTGTTGAAAAATGTTCTTTGATTTAGATGAGTTTATACTATGCCATCTAAAGATCGTACTCTACTAAGAGTCACATAAGCTTGCCCTTTGGTGAATGGTTTGGATCCAAGATTTATGACCGTCTTATCGACTGTAGTGCCTTGCAATTTATGCAATGTAATGGCCCAACCTAATATGAGTAGAATCATTACTCTTTCTATTTTGCCAGCATCTTTGTTGCTTTGAAATGATACACTCGTCGGAGCCTACCCTACCATTTTCATTATGGTAACTTCTGCCAATAAAACAGTCTTCAAATTGGATTAGGACTTTTTTCGGCAACTCTCCATCTTCTATTTGGTCTCTTCTTAACCCACAAGTGCACCACCATAACAGTCAAGTGGTAGAGCCACGCAGCAGTTTTGCTGTTTCACGTATGGTCCCAGTCAACCCGGGGTGGTACCACGACCTTACAGAATACCGGGGACTTCACTTGAACCTAAATGCCGTCTACTACCATCAGGAGACGGCGAAGCCGGCCTTGCTCTTTCTGACCGAGATGTAAGTGTCCTCTCCGGTTGATACTTCGTATCTCAAATTAAAGTTTTTAAAAAGTTACCTCGCGAAAGGTGTCTCATGTAGAGGCGAAACACGTGTCGCATTGTTGTCATTGGTGTGTCTGTCCTAGTGTAGTGGTGTTGGGAGTAGTGGTGCTGGGATTAATGATGGCGGGGATAGTGCACGCAATTGAGGGATGGCGGGAGGTGCTCTTCAAACTAGGTAAGACACATCATTTTATTTTATCGAGCGGATGTACCCGAGGTAACTTTTTAAAAACTTAAATATAATAGATTTCCGCGAAGTAACGCCTGACTCTATTAATTAACTTCGTATCTCTCCTACCGGGGTACAAGCTATAACACTGCTTTGTGCCTCTGGCTGGAGTTTGCGTATACGTCAGAGAGGACATCTGTTTTTGACGCCTCGGCCGTTTTGAAGGTTCGAACCTGTGCATCATTTGGCTACGCGTAGACAGCAAAGACCATCCACTCGTCTGCAGCTGCCTCTACAGGTCCCATAGCGGTAATGCTGACACAGACTGACTCATCAACCATCGAAGTCACTTTTGCTACTTTGAGGGAATCAGGGATGTAACCGTTTTGTAAACAATAGTTGAAGTTCGTTGTTAATTTATTTAATATTTTTAAGTTTTTAATGCATTAAATAAATTATATATGGTTTTGCAACTAACTCCGTCTAAGCTCGTGCTAGTGTTTGGATTGAGGTTATCTATGACATTGCTTACTTCCTCTTCCGTATTTAGAGTTAGATAAGTATATATACTAGAATTAGCCGTTTCAGAGCTTGGCTGCGTATATGATTTTTCCTTATGCATTTTAGTTTTATTTGTTTAAATACACTCTATAGTAGCAAAGAAAATATTAAAATAAATACCTACTATATTTATTTAACGTCTGTAACTTGACCTATTTGTGCATCTAATTTTGTAGGAACAGAGCACAATTTTGTTTTATTTCCTGCTAAGTTCCCGATGAACTACCACATCTTTAAAGGTTTTTCACTGTTTTTAAAAGCTTTGTAATAATAATTAATTTTAGTACTCCAGTTTTGTTCAGACACGGTATTTCCCTCAATAGTTGTTATTATTTATTTTTGATGTTGTTATCTTTTCTTGGTGTACAATAAAGAGTATTGTATTGTATTGTATTTCGTAGGACAATAAAGGTGTTCTTATTGATTAGTCGATGGGATTTTTATTGTAAATATTGATTTATTATACTGATTTATTTTGGTTATTATTTTAATTATGTCTTTTTTAATCCGAAATGTATTTTGAATTATGAATTCCGGTATTTTATTTTTATTTTAATATCTTCTAGGCTTTCGTAGTCACTATTAGATATATTCATAACTGTACTTTCTACTATATAGTATAGAGCTATGTTATATGATACTTTATTTTTTATCGTTTTCCGTGTATATTTGCCAACTTTTAGATATATTTAGTTGTGGTCTGACATTGGCAATTACACTATCTTTATATGTAAAAATTACGAGTCATGTTATTTGTCCGCGATGAACTCCTAAACTACTGAACTGATTTCAATGAAATTTTGGACACTGTGCGCAGCTTGGTCCAACTTGAGAGATAGGATAGTTTTTATCCCGATAAGTGAATCTCAATTGTTTATTACTAATCTCAGGAGTTTTTTTTTTTTAGGAAAGCAAATGGTCGTTGGAATGGGCAGAATAACGTCTGTCTGGTCAGCTAGTAGTCATATAAAATTTATGATTTCTGTATCACGGGTACTAAATTTAGTATCAATTTTGTTTAGAATTGTGTGTCCATTTTCTAGTAGTATCTTCGTATAATTATTAATTGATTGGTTAGGATTAAGCAGATCGTAGTAGAAATCACCAAACATTAAAGCTCTTTGCCTCCTCATAAGCTGCCGTGAGTATTCCTACTATTTTCAGAAAAAGTTTATATATGGCTCCAATATCCAAAGAATATTTATCTAAATGAGCTCATAGATAGTATTTGACGTTTTTACAAAGATCCAAGTAATTTTGTTTTAAGTTTAAAGTCAACAAATGTGAATACATCACCTCTTCTTGCATTTTCTTTTATATTATAATAATGAGTGTAGTGTGGTAATTTTAAATTTTTGGCATCAGATTCTGACTTACAAGTTTCTAATGGTATCATTAGAAGCACAGGACCAGATTTGTTAAATGGTATTATGCAGTTTAGTTTGTCGAGTTTTTACGGCTTCACTATGCTTCGTGCGTCAGCGTAAAGGAACTTTAAAGATTTATTGCTTTTTATTTAGTTAGTATAAATCAGATTCTACGTGAGTAGTATTTGGAGTTGTGTCTATATTCTGCATTGATAGTTTTTTGGCTAGATTTTTGTGGGTGTACCCTTGACATATTTTATTGTATGATCTTTACCTCGTCAAAATAACAGATTAGTATAGTCTTTATTCAATATAGATTATTACATAATACTTATCTAAAGTGTTTTTTTTTTATTTACCGCTGGTTCGGAAAATTCTCTGTTCTGAGAAGAACCAGCAAGAAACCCAATTTAAAAAAAATCGCCATTAGGCGATGACTTCTCGTTTAATTATCTGATAAAGTTGACGACTCAATAAACTCAATAAAATTAATTTATATTATTCATTTATTCATTTATTTAAATTTCAGATTGTGACACCTTTATTGATATTTAGATAATACGATATAACTTACTGACTTACTGTTCCGTCCTTTGGACTAAAAGATTTGGATTGACTATACGTGGTAGAGCCATGCTGCAGCTATATTAGTAGTATAGTTGTAGCACGAATGGGTCGGCTCGATCGGGGAAGGACCACGCTCTCACAGAATACCAGTGTCAAATAACAGCTTAACACTGCTGTGTTTCGTATGGTGAGTGTAGAGAACCGGAGTATCTTTTTACTGGAAACGAGGCATTCCATCTTAGTCCTCACGGGTGGCAAAGCATCTGCATTTTGATTCGTAAACGAGGATAAATGTAGATGTCTATGGGCCACAGCAACCACTTACCATCAGGTGGACTGTGTGCTCGTTTGTCACCCTATATTATAAAAAAAACTGATGGTATATTATGTACTTTTGGATTTTTCATTTTTTTATTGTTTGTATAAACAATTACCAAATTGTGTAGTTTCTTATAAGACATTACTGCTAATTAACTATCAGGCGTGGCGATCACGATAAACATCCCAACTATCATCACCGGTTTGTCCGAGCCAATGGTGATTGTACAACTTAGATATTAGAAATCTAAGATAGCCCCTTGATTTATATATTCATATATTTTGGGCCTAATAATTTTTGAGGAAGGAAAATTTTAAATTTAATTTTAAAATTACGTTCTTCATGAATGGCACGGAATATATTCTATAAATATTCCGTAATTGATATTTTTTTTATAGTACAATGGTGACAAACGAGCACACAGTCCACCTGATGGTAAGTGGTTGCTGTGGCCTATAGACATCTACATCTATCTTCGATTACGAATGAAAATGCAGATGCATTGTCACGCGTGAGGACTAAGATAGAATGCCTCGTTTCCAGTAAAAAGGGTCTCCGGTTCTCTACACTCACCATATGAAACACAGCAGCGTTAAGCTGCTATTTGACGCTGGTATTCTGTGAGGGCGTGGTCCTTCCCCGGTCGAGCCGACCCATTCGTGCTACAACCATAATATAGCTGCAGCATGGATCTACCACGTATAAAACCTTGTGATAATATAGTTATCATATCATACCCATACCAATATTGACCAAACTTAAATATATTTAAGAATTTTACTTTCATTTCAGAGCCATTTCTATGTTTAACGTAATTCTGGCACATTCTTCCATTGCATTCCACATGTCATATCTCCAAAATCCTCAGTTCCTGGAGAATGTAAGTTATTTTTGATTTTTTTTTTAATATTTTGACATATTTATTTATCATCTTAATCTTCTTCATTTGCATGCGTTTTGATTATTAATTGAGGATATATGTAGGTGTCTCTAGATCATACCATCAGGTGGAATGTATAAAGAATATATATAATAAGAAATAAAGGCGGAACAGGTACGGTTTGCCTTTGTGCAGTATAAATAAAACAAAATTTTTCATAATCAATTTCATATTCGGACGCTGGTTATAGATATTTATTGATAAGCATTTCATCTGATGGTAAGTGGCCACTGCAGCCCATGGGTTCTTACAACGTACTTCAAAAAACAAGAACTACAGGTACGTTATCACAATACTAATACACTTATTTTCTGTTCCCACGATACAGACCGTACTATATTATGTTGTTACTAACATTGTGTTTTAAAATTTTAAAACTTTCTAGTACAATTTTATTCTAAATCATGTAAGTAGTTATTGTCTGAGACAGGCACATGAATGCCTGAATTACGGATCATCAGGACCTCATCCCAAGAATACAAAACTTTAAAATTAGCAGCTTAAAATTGTATCAGAAGGCTAGGTTTACATTTACAAATCTATAATGCATGTTATAGGATAATAATACAAAATTAATAAATAAGTTTCTTACAAACTAAGGTTTATAATATAAATAATAATGGAATGGAGATAAGGTGGAATGTAATGTGCAATTATACTGACACGTTATACTTATCAAACAGAACAAAAAGAGATGCAGTTGCTTATCTGTAGAAAGAGTAAAGAATTAACATTTAATGTTTCTAAATAGCATTTTTTATCTTTCTATAACTTTAGTAACTACATCTAATTGGGTTATAGCCAAATACACGAATTTTGGAAGGGTAAAAAAATTGGAATGTATCACGCTGCCCTTGGGCGTACACATGTTTTTGAAATATTCTGACTAGCTTTTAACCCGCGGCTTCGCTCGCGTTGGCTTCAGTTTAGAAATATCATTAATACTGCTTCTATAAGTTCTATTTATGATGAACGTTTGACAGGGACTATAGGTATTCATGAACGGGAGTAGAAAAATAGAGAAGATGGGCAGCAGCGTCTTTCTGGTTACAGCTCGAAATAATAAAAAGATGCAGTTGGCAACCCGCCTGCCAAGTGTGGCAACAACGCATAATATCCACCTTATTTTGAAATCTATGGAGGGAATCGTAATGATGAACGGGCGTAGAAATATATTAGCAATGTAAAGGTGGCGAAATAGAAACCAATACCTCCTTTCGTCTCGTGATTGTCGTAAGACAGAAGGGGAACTGAAACAGGAGATGGGTGGCAGCATCTTCCTGATAAAAGTGCAGAGTAATAAAAATCTGCGGTTGCCAACCCACTCGCCAAGCGTGGCTACTACTGCAAATATCCGGCCTATTTGACAAACAATGGGAGAAACCCATGATCAACAGTGGATAGGCAGGCCTATTAAATGTAAAAAGTAGCCTACAAACATCTCACTACTGGGGACAGGCTGCAGCGAGTATTAAGACAAAAAAGAATTGATTAAATTGACTCTAACGCGGGTTGACCGACTTCTCATAAGTATACATAAAAATTATTTTCGAAATATTTTTTTAACTTCTCAAATATGTAAGTTTTCTCGCGATATTATCCTTCATTGCCGAGAACGTGGTAAACCGAAACTTCAAATTGTAATTAAAATATGATTGGTCTCGTTGCGGATCGATTTTGGGTTGATTACGTACATACTATGAAATTTACGTTTGGATCGGTTCGATTACCGGATAACTTTCAAGATTCTATCAATGTAGTTTCGCTCATAAATAAAATTAAAATAATCATACGTTTAAAATTTCCTGTCTTTGATATTTATATTACTTTTTCGCAATAGCCTGTTCATTTATTCATGTGTCTTCTGCTATGAAACCGGGATTGTCACAAAAATCTCAATAAGTAGGTATATCTGAAAACATGAAAGCTATCTGAATATTTGGCAAACTGTTTTAAAAGTCTCATTAAAATTAAAAAAAGTAAAGAAGCAGCTTACATTCTCTTACAACTGTGCACAGGGCTGCTAATTACCCATGTGAAAAATAGTGGTTTCACATGTCCACGATTTTTTTAAAAACTACTTAGACATCAAGGTTTCACCGCCAAGTTATTCTTTACCACTTCACTAAGCACGTGGAAAATTAGCAAATGAAAATTGCTTACCAGTGTCATTGGTCCTCGCGGGAATCGAACTCTTTTTTTATAGGAGATGGTTCAAAGAAGCATACGGCTCACCTAATAGTAAGTGATTACTGCCGCCTATGAACAACTGCAACACCAGAGGAAGGAGTAGGCTCTTTTCTTGAAGGCCCCTAAGTCGTATCGGTCCGAAAAAATCGCTGGTGGTAATCGATTCAACAAGGAAATTGTGCGAGGACCAGATGGTGTGGATGGTATCGGAAGCTCTGCCGCGATGTGCGTTCGTGAAATTTGGCGGCTGGGATTAATTCGAACAATTACTCAGAGCACTTCCCGTGATAAATGCAAAAGATAATGCAAAGGAATGCAACATCTCTTCGCAGCGCCAATGAATTAAGCCGATCGGAAAAGCCTTGGTCGTCGACAATTTGAGCCGCTCTGCAGCCGAACCTGCGCCTAGTAAAGTTGCAAGCGGTGCATGAAACACTGTCTCGCTCTGCTGAGCACGCCAAGTTTTTTAGAGGCCAATCTGGCCTTCTCTTCCAAGTGACCACGAAACTGCATGTCACTTGATATGTCGACGCCGAGGATTACGATACTGGCTGAGGCAACAAGAGGAGTGCCTTGAAACTGAGGAGATACGACGAAGGGGTTCTTATTAGCGGTAAACGCGCAAACTTTTGTCTTCTGGGGAGTCGCCCCGAGTCCGAGACTTTGTTCAACAAAGCCCGACTTCAGACACAACTTTGTCCCGGTACCCGGCGACGTTATCCCGAGAAATATTGGCACGGCCGGTGTATAAAGTATCATCATAGCAATGAATGTTATCAGTTTTCAACATGTCATTGATATGCAGAAGAAACAGCGTTGGTGATAGCACGCAGCCTCGTGAAATACCAGTGTTAATGGTCTTGCAATAGGAGCACGCATATACGACTACTACGACCTTGATGCTCCGATTTGCAAGAAAACTGGTGATCCAAGTGCACAATTTCTCGGGAATCCCATAAGAAGGAAGCTTCGTAAGAAGCACTTTGTGCCAAATCCGATCGAAGGAATCGTATTGGCGATCACTAATCAGCTGGTGATCCTCAAGGTACCACATGAGCTGGCTATAATGGACTTCATTAGTTGGATTGATCAGAGCGGTTACAATTTTTGGGATGGAGTGCACGAAAGCTGTCTTCCATGATTTTGGGACTACGCCTAGGGAGTAAGAGTACCGGAAAAGAAGCGTTAAAACCGGTGCCAACTCTGGAACACACGTCTTCAGCACAATAGGAGGTCAGGTCCACTCGGCTTGTTGACGTCCAGGAAGAGGAGTACTCTGCGCACCGAGTGTTGGGTGAACAGCACATCTTGCATGGAGCACTCACATCGCAGAATGGTCGGCGGTGTGTTCCCCCCGTCATCAAGAGTCGAGTTGGACGCAAAGAGAGAGCCCAGCAGATCGGCTTTGTCCTTTACGGCATGGTCCAATGAGTCGTCCTCCTTGAGCAGAGATGGGAGAGATGGCTGACAGAAGTTCCCTTGGACAGCCTTGGCGAGGGACGAGAATGCACGTGTTCCCGAAGGAAACGAACTAGTTTCTCGCCAATTCTGCCGATGTGGTCTGACTTTGCCTTGACAATGACACTTTTGAAGGACCTGGAGGTGGAATTATACTTCTTTTTAAGAGCGTTGGTATTTGCATCCCGAGACGTCGATGCGTGAGCCCACTCCTGGCAGCACTCTTGCTTAATTGCAAAACTTTAACTCCTGCAAAATTGCATTACGCCAAGCGACCAAACCATGGCTGGGTTCTGCCTGCGATAGGTACCACAGATGATGGAATAAAAATTTCCATTCCCTGTAGCACCACATCAGCGACAGAATCAGCAACAACGCTGGGATCATCTGGCGAGAAGCAAACCCACCTCCAAGCATGCAAAAAAAGATCACATCCTGTCCCAATCGGCTGACCTATATTGCCAAACACGGCGGCAACCTGTAGTACGCAACCGCGATGGGAGTGTGAGTGGCATCGTACTCCAGATCAGACAATAGTCCGAAGAGCCAAGAGGAGTATCTACGATCTACGAAGACCTAATATCCATCTGGATGAAAGGTCAACAGAAGGTCCAACAGGGAAGGTACATGATCTTCCACATTTGGCATCCGCGGTGCGTTCCGGTGAGGTTAGCAGTTGTATCAGACCATATGCCAAAGCCTTTGCTGTTCAAATCATAAACACATTTACCCGCAAGATCGGTTAAACGAGAACCAAACCATTCAGCGTGGTGGACGTTAAAACCACCAAGCATCACGATCTCTGTGGATGGGACCTATTGTAGCACGGAGTCTGCAGCCATTTGGACTTGGCCGATGAGTCGGTCTGTATCGGCATTGCCACTATGGGACCTATAGTCATCTGTAGATGCGCGGATGGTCGACGCTCGATGGTCGATGGTCGTCGGTCGGTCTGTCTACGTGCAGCTAGTGCAGTGCCGAGGCGTCGAAAGCAGATGTCCTCTTTGACGTACACGCAAAATCCAGGCCGGGGCAAAAAAGAAGTGTGCTAATTTGATGTTGCAAGGGTGGAGCGGGGGGGGGGGGGGGGAATTGGGCCTTCGGCCACCTGCACTCTCCGAAATGCAGAAGCAGAGCTTCTGCTTCACGCGGATCTTCTGTGAGCTCGTGGTACCACCCCGGTTCAAGCCGGCCCATACGTGCAACAGCAAAGACTGCCACGTGGCTCTACCACATCCACATTGCAATTGGATGAGAAGTCAGATGCTGGAAAATTATGCCAACCGTTTCTGGCTAACGATCACTATTACAAAAGAAAGTCGTTTAATTTTAAAACTGTAGTGACAAACGAACTTACAGTCCACCTGATGGTAAGTGGCTACTGAAGTCCATGAACACCTGCAACCAACTTCAAACAAAGCAGGCTAGAAATGCGTTGTCAAATATATGAAAATAATAATTACTGTTTTTTCTACCACTGTCTTTCGTTCCTATGCTTTTAAATTTTACGGCGAACGGCGATTTTTACGTAGTAGAGTAATGCTGCAGCGTTATTAATAGTATAACTATTAGGTCCTTACATATGAAAATAGCGTTTTGTCGTACTGACCACTTTGATCTGAAATATCTCCTCTTTGGTTACGAATTCTAAATTCAAATTCATAAATTCATTTAGCTCGTACATTTGAGTTTTGAAAACAATTTTTTCTTTGGCGTCGCTTATTACCGCACAATGGAAATTCTACCGTGGCCAGTGCTGCAGAAACAGCTCGAAGGATTAATGATGTGTACGGCGCTGGTGTCGCAAAAGAAGAACGGTACGTTTTTGGTTTCAATGTTTTCGTTCTGGAAATTTCAACCTTCAGAACCAATCCCGTGGACGGCCGGAGGCCAAAGTGGAAAAGGAAGAATTAAAGGCTATTGTTAAAGCGGATCCATCACAAAGCACTTCAGAGATAGCTGCAGACTACGGGGTAAGTGGTAAAACTGCATTTATTTACTTGAAGCAAATCGGGAAAGTAAAAAAACTTGAACGATGAGTACCTCATGAATTGAGTGAATCGAACTTGCAGACACGCGTCGACTGCTGTGTTACTTTGCTCAACCAATACAATAATGAAGAGATTTTAAATCGAATCATTACCTCTGATGAAAAGTGGATACTGTACGATAATCGGAAGCGCTCGTCGCAATGGCTGAACCTTGGAGACCCAGCCAAATCCTGCCTTAAACGAAAATTGACTCAGAAAAAGTTACTTGTGAGTGTTTGGTGGACTAGCGCCGATGTCGTTCACTACAGCTTTCTAAAATCTCGCTAAATTATTACGCCAGATATCTATTGTCAGCAACTGCAAACCATGAAGGAAGAACTAGCTGCTAAACAACCGAGATTGGTCAATCGCTCTAGGCGACTGCTGCTTCACAACAACTCAAAACCACACACTGCACAACAAACAACCACTAAGTTAGATGAGCTACAATTGTAATGTCTGCGACATCCACCGTACTCCCCGGACCTTGCTCCAACAGATTACCATTTTTCCGGAATTTGGACAACTTCTTACAAGGAAAAAAATTCAACTCCGATGCGGCAGTCCAAACCGCCTTCAAAGAGTTTATTGATTCTCACCCCCCATGGTATTTTTTTAGTAAAGGTATCAATGAACTACCTATGAGATGACAAAGGTGCATAGATAACAACGGTGCATACTTTGATTAATTAAATATATTTTACAAAAAAAAAATTGACTTCATATACCTCCCGTACAAAATGCCAATTTCGTATGTAAAGACCTAATATATATAGTTATAGCACGAATAAGTCGGCTCGACCGGGGAAGGACCACGCTCTACTATAGAATACCAGCGTAAAATAACAGCTATGCTGCTGTGTTTCGTATAGTGAGTGTAAAGAACCCGATACGCTTTTTACTGGAAAAGCGTCTTTCTATCTTAGTCCTCACGGCTGACAACGCATCTGCATTTTGATTCGCAAACGTGGATAGATGTAGATGTCTATGGGCTACAGCAACCACTTACCCTCAGATGGACTGTGTGCTCGTTTGTCTTCCTTATTCTATAAAAAAAAAGGATTCACGGCTCTCGTATTTGCTTAAATAACACTAATAAAAACTGAAAAGAAGCTTTTGCACTATTGTGTCACATCCACCTTGTAATTAGTCAATCAAACTATTCTATCATTTAGATATAAAATCTTACAGTCCACATAATTTTTAATTACTTACATCGGACTTGATACAAAAAGAAGTTGATGAAATATTGCTATGTTGATAGACACCCAGCATATTCAACTAAAGACATTGTGTCTTAATCATAGTTTTGTGTACACAGTTCTGTTAGTCATTTTGCTAAAAGTGACAATAACGATAAATGATCCCGACAGGGGCCACCGGTCTGAATAATTTAAGTCTGACAACTTTTGATGCTGTAAAAATAAGTATTCCATATTATTCTCATAAATTTCATCAGTGACTTATTATCAGTTAATTTAGCAGTAAGAAGAAAGCAGATGAAAACAAAAACTGTACCCTCTAGTACTCAGCGACAATAAGTTAAGGTGCGACCGGGGTAGCCCAATCACACAACAATGCCGCCAAGATTTATGTAATACATAACTTAGGCACAAAGTGATGTAGATTGTATTAAAAATTCTGCTTCTGTCAAAAATTCGCTATCGTTGCTGATAGCGGTGTGTAACGAAATCATTTTACGATAAAACATTAGGAAGAAATATCAATCTTGTGTTTAGTTGTTAATATCGCAAAACGATCTTTATTCATTGATTTGGTCCAGCTATATCTTATATACACAAAAAAAAAATTTAATTAATGCCACCATATTACCGTGCCATAATTTACTACTTTATGATATTATTATTTCTAAGATCTGGCTAATACATATATAAAAATATCTTTATTTAAACTATATGAATAGTGAGTTTTGCAATAATTACAGTTTTATCAGTTTATTTATAAATAATCAAAACTTTTTTATAGATTAAAAATTAAACATTTTTTGATTTGCGATAGATGTCATTATTATACTATGTAAGTAGTAATTAGTTACTATAAAGTTTATTAATTCCTACTAAAATGAAATAAGGAAATAACTAATAAATTAACGTTAGAACTTTCAAATAAATATGAATTCAATTATACAAGGTATTAAAGTAAGTTATATATTTTATTTTATTTATAAGTAGCTGGAGGTAAAATGTTGCTACTTTTTGAATTTCACGTTAGATGGCACTGTTTTGATAAAGTGAAACGTAGATTGTCGGCGTAGTTAAAATTATAACGCAACGGTTAAAACTAATTGTAGGCTTTGTTTATAAATATGTTATTTATTTAAAAAAAAACATCAATAATATAAAATAGAAATTAACATCTTGAGGAAGAAAAATACTTAATCCTCCGTGTTTGGAGTTCTGTTATCGAATAAAAAGTAGCCTATAATTTGCCCTGGGTCTCTAACTACCTACATACAAAATTTCATGGAAATCTGTCAAGTAGTTTGTGCGTGAATCGGAAATACACAAACAGACAGACAGACAGACAAAATTCTAAAAACCACTAATTTGGCCTCAGTGTCATTTGTTTAGTACCCTGGAGTTGTTTTTTCCATAAAATATTAGAATTACAGATACGACTTTTCTACTGATTTATTATATGTATTGATTATATTTTGGTTTGATTCCTTTGCGATGGTTTCTTGATCGACGAGCGCCTGATAAATGAGGACTTAAATTGCGGTTAAGAAAATCATCGGCGGCCTGCACCTGAACAGTTGTTTACGAGCTATTAATTAAAAGTTGAGCGCATGGCCACTAGACTAGTTGTGTGTCGCCAGTAACGAAAAGTCAGGAATTTGCATTTAGAAAAATTCAAAGTTAGGGCTTTTTGATGCTAACTAGGTTAGTTTAAAAAGCTAATTAGTTTTAAAAATTAGGAACTCTAAAACTTTCACCGCAACGAACGGTTGAAATTTTCGTTGCTGACAAAACGTATCGCTAGTAACGCAGTGACGTTATTAGTTAGTATTATTATATACGATAGGCTAGAAGATTAGGTTAGATTTAGGTGCTAAGTTTAAAAATTAAGTGCTCTAAAATTTTCGCCGCAACGAACGGTTGAAATTTGTGTTGCTGGCAAAACGAAAGAAAATAGTAATGGTGGTCGTGGACCCTATAATTCCCAGAATAATATCTTAATCCATATCGGGTCTCGATAATCGCTCAGCACTTAATTAGCACTTAATTCCTTGCTATTAATATTTATCGTATATTTATTATCGTCACTGCGTTGCTAACGATACGTTTTGCCAGCAACGCAAATTTCAACCGTTCGCTGCGGTGAAAATTTTAGAGCACCTAATTTTTAACCTTGGCACCTAATTAGCGCGTAAAAAGCCCTTAATTTTGGCTTTTTCTAAATGCAATTATATTTCTATTCTGATTTTCAGAAGCCCAGATTTTTGCATTTTCTTTGTTCTGAATAACGACTTTATTAGGGGCGCCTTGTCATTGCCTATACTTGAAGCACTTAATGTAACAAACGAACCTGCAGTCCACAGTATAGTTAGAATGCATTGTCACCTCTGAGGGCTAAGATGGAATGCCTCACAATCAGTATTTATACTGACTCTCTAGAAACTTCTGACCGGAATACAGCAGAGCAGGCACTGTTATTTGGCGATATAAATGGATAAAAGGGTGGTGCCTCCCAAGACTCTTAGATAGAAAAGGAGTCCTACCACCAGTAAATTCATCAAACGGTTTTCTTTGATGATTTCAGTGACTGAAGTACGTGTGTTGAAATAATTTTTAAGAATAACAATTTTATTTACGAACAGATAACTCGACATCCGTTAACCACGCTGCTTCATAACGGGTCTGTAATCGTACAGACGTTCATCATGCTGTCAAGTTTTCTCCTCGCCTACAACCTGTTGATTAACGGTGAGAAAGACCCAAAAAAGGGTCTTAACCTTCGCTCACTACCACGTCTCCTCTTTAATCGTATTGCAAGGTTAGTTACTAATTGGCAATATTTTTATATCTTACTATAATTTTGTAAATTTAATAATTTTTTAAAACACCTTTCATCCTAATATATTCACTAAAAGCATCACAGAATACTCCTAGATCACAGCTTGTTTTAGTTTTCTGAAAATTAATTTTTATTTCAGCGTAGTGAGTAATTTATGAAGCAGATCAAACCTACAAGTAATGCAAGCCAGTAACGCATTCTTGAAAAGGTCCTAATCTTGAAAATGTCTATGTCCAGCAGTGATCTTAAGAATAATGTTTATGTGATGCGATAAACTATAAAAAAGTAAAAAATAAAGTTACAGCCAGTATACGAGTACGTCCCACTTCGAATATTTAGCTCATAATTTTTATTTCTCAGACAGACATAGTTTACCTTCACCGCCAAGCACGTTGATAATTAGCAGTTATAATTGCAATTTTAACAATTTTATTGTTGGCCTCAGTGATCGAAACAGGTTTTATCAAGTACTGCAAAAGCGCTTAGTGGTTCTGCTAAAAATCAAGAATATCACAACGAAAGAGATCCGACTTTCGTGAATGCCGATGACCTAACGTAGTAAATTTAAAGTCACCATTCGAAAACTGCCATTAACAGTTTCTTCTTTATCCATTGCTCGTTGATGACTTTTTTTTAAATAATAATAATTAAATTGTTTGACAGAATTACGCCATTGAATGTTTTTATGGTTGGCTTTACGGCAACTTGGTGGCGACACATGAGCGATGGCCCTCTATGGAAACCATTAGTGGAGGCGGAGTGTGCACGCTGCAGGGATAAGTGGTGGGCGCATTTCCTGTATATCAACAACTTTATTGAACCAGATAAAAAGTGCCTGATACAGACATGGTAACTAAGCAGTATTTCTAATATTCCATAAATATTTTACTTCTACTACTATACTTTTTTAATCTCTTTGTTATACAGTATAATCAATCCAATAATATTTTATAAAGAATATGATAATAGGTATTTACCTATGAAATTGCCGTTCTGTAGTATTCGCCATTTCAAATCAAAATAATTTTTGTTTAGCTAAGAATTCTAATTTCAAATTAATTTTATTTCAGAAACATGAAATTCTTCTTTCAAAATTATTTATTCGTTTTATTGATTAACGTTATGTTTTCATCGCATTTGAATTTTTTTCATCATCATGGAAACGTTAGAAATTCTATGAAGAAGTGAACACAATGATGTAGAAGCTCGCACGTCTCCAACCAGCTTTGGTCAATCGCTTGTCCCCGCTACTCCTGCACGACAACGCGCGACTCCATACTGCACAAAAGATGGTCTCCGAATTACAAAAGCTGTGGTTGAAAGCTCTGCATCATCCGCCGTAGTCAGCAGACCTTGCGCATATAGACTTGCACTTTTTCCAGAATTTGGATAAAGTTTTGGCGGGAAAAAACTCAACACTCCAGAGGCAGTACAAAATGACTTTGAAGAATTAATTACCCCCTATCCAGCTAATTTCTTCAAGAAAGAGAAGAAGAAGAGAATTTTTAAAAAATAGCAGTGTCCATTTAATTAACTTATAACATCAAACTGTTTACATATTGAAAATATAGTCTTAAAGTCAAACATTAACCCATAATTTTAATTAAAATGGTCTCATTAACCAATTGACTCATTCTAGGTTTCTCGCGGTGGACATGCAACTTTATGTATTGGCGGGCTTTCTGACTCTCGCCTTGGGCCGGTCACCGCGCAGAGCTATCAAGGTCCTAAGCTGGCTTTTTGTTTGCGCGGTCGTTGCCAATTTCATTATCGCCTACAACTGGAACTTAAAGGCAATACTTTTCCTCACCAATCCTGAGTAAGTATTATAGGAAATCTTTTATGACATAAGTCTATCTCGTAAGCATCAATTATATGTCGCACATGTCAAGCGCGTTAATTAATAATTATTGTTAGTTTCGAATAAATGAGGCTGGTTATTATCTAATTAAGACTTTATTCGGTTAAATTTTACACAGTTATTTTTTTATTTTAATAATGAATGAATGAATGAATTTATTTTCTCTTCACAATAGGTAAACTTAATACTAAGTATTACAAAATTGCGAGACTGCGAGCCTGATGTAGGTATAAAAACCAGTATTATAGGTCACCAGGGCTCCCCCGCGGCTAGAGCAACAATCTGAGTAATACAAATCAAAAAAGGAGATTATAATTATGTAAATAAACAAAATTAACTACAGTAATTGCAGATTTTACATCAATGGGTGTATGTACTATGTATAGTTTATTGAACACGTGTGAGTCAGGGCGTGCGTGCGCGCGCGCTCGCGCGCGGTGTGTGTGTGTGTGTGTGTGTGTATATGTGTGTGTGTGTGTGTGTGTGTGTGTGTGTGTGCGCGAGTGGGTGGGTGTTTGTGTGTGCGTGCGTGTGTGTGTGCGTGTGTGTGCGTGTGTGTGTTTGTGTGTGTGTGTGTGTGTGTGTGTGTATGTGTGTGCGTGGGTGGGTGTTTGTGTGTGTGTGTGTGTGTGTATGTGCGTGTGTGTGTGTGTGTGTGTGTGTGTGTGTGTGTGCGTGTGTGTGCGTGCGTGCGTGTGTGTGTGCGTGTGTGTGCGCGCTTGTGTGCGTGTGTGTGCGTGTGTGCGTGCCTGAGTGCGTATGTGTGAGTGTAAGTGTGTGTGAGTGCTTGTATGGGAATAACATTTTATACAAAATTGCATTTAAAACCAAAATGATGAAAAGATGCGAGACTATAGGGTTCGTGGCTGAGCGAGATTACTATTTATTATATAGACGACTTTAAAAGGTTTTTGGTCGATTCATAGTCTAAAGTTTTCAGATATTTTGTTAGGATTAATTTACAACTTGATTTAGGTAAAGGATAGAAATTTTGGATACTATACATGTACGGTCGAATATGAATGGCAGGGTGAGAAATAGTGTGATAAGAGAAAAGTGTGGTTTGCAAGATGACGTTGTGACCAGGATTAAAAAAAATCGGTTGTCTGTAAAGTCGGTTTACTGACGATAGTTGAACGTGACAACGTCATAAGATAATGTTGCTATAAACAATTGACACCACATTCACTTTTCACTGCACTTCATATTTGACGAAAACATGTGAATGTATCATTGTATAGCAGCTGTCCATGCGGACGCATCGCTCACTTAAGTAGGAGAGAGACAGATGTCAAACACTGCCGAACGCGGAGGCCGTTTGTGCCTCTTTGTCGCTCGTTCCGCGCTATCGCTTGCACTTCAAGCCTTAAATGGAACGCCTCAGAGCGAGGTAACGCCGCATGAGTCATGTTTTTTCGTGCGTGCAGCCAGCTTCATCGAATTATAAGACGTTGTCACGTCAAAAAAAGGAATGCTTCAATGGTTTGGTCATGTAGAAAGAATGAACGCGGAAACAGTGGCAAAGCAAATTTATGTTTCAGAAGTGAACGGCAGAGTCGGGAAGGGATGCCCTAGAGGGAGATTTATCGACCAAATCGGCGATACATTGAAAATGGCCCAGATTAGGAGTATCCTTAACCGACGAGCGTGTATGCGTAGATATATGGATGTAAAGGAGGCGACAGAAGTGTGTCAGGATCACGCCAAACGGAAGTCCGTAGTCTCTGCCTATCCCTCTGGGTGACAGGCGTGAGTGTTTGTGTGTGTTTGTGTACGGTCCTAGAAAACAGAAGAAATTGTGTGAGGTAACAGAATGGAAGGATTTTGTGCGACATATAGTAACTTTTCTGCGTTTGTCCTTTAGCAGTTCCGGGTCTTATTTACATTGAGAATGTTTCATTAGGACAGTTTGTAAGATGAATGTTTGTCTCACTGTTAGAACATCCCACTTTTGTAGAGGTCCACTGTTGGAAAGCGGAACGGGAGACCTGCTAGGATGGCCCTTTGAACTCTTTCTACCTCGATTAGGTGTGTTTTAGCAGCACCTTCCCATGAACTGATGCAGTAATCTATAAGTGATTGGCATAAAGCGTAATAGACCCTTTTGATGATTCGACAGTCAGCTACGTGTTTAAGTGATTTGAAGATATAAATGAGCTTGCGTAACCTAGTGACAAGTACATCAATATGTGCCTTTAAAGTCAGGATTTGGTCTATTTAAGATTCCGAGACATAATAAGAAAATATCCTATATATTATTTAAATATTCCGTATGAGGAAGCTCGAGGTCGCTAAAAGAGCTATATCAGAGAGCTGTGCTCCGGGTTTATCTGCGCGATAAACTTAGAAATTGGGATGTCCACACTAAAACAAGATTAACCGACATACCTCTACAAATTAGTAAGGTAACGGGGTAATAGGCTAACCATATAGCTAGAAGAACCGGCAACCGATGGAGTAGAAAGGTTCTCGAGTGGCAGCCTTGTACCGTTAGGCGAAGTTTAGGGTGGCTCCACACTATAGGGAGTGACGACCTGATGATGATGATGATGATAAGAAGCTTAATTTACGGAAAATACTTTCAGTCACCTCTTACATCACCCACTCTACTAAATGAGGTGATAGATTTTCGTACGTTCCAAAGACGCAGCATATGTGGTATTAAAATTTAATATTGCCCAATTTCTTCTATCTAACGGTATATTTTTTCTTCACAGACTGTTACGTCACCAGTACGCTGGTGAACCCTCTTTTAACTTGTTGTATATGGCTCCATGGGGCAGTTTACCTTCCTCACTGATCGGACTCATTGCAGCCTTCCTTCTTTACTATTGGCAGCAGGTCAATTTCAAGCCAGAAGAGAGTTTGGTAAGAATTTTGAGTTTATCTCTTTTTCTTTACCGTATGGTAAACGTCCACTGCCGTACATGGGTCTATCTAGTTGTAGGGAGGGTTTACCTTGATCATCACGCAGTGTTTAACGTTCGCAGACGTTAAACGTCTTACACTTTTGACGCTGCCCCCATCCCTGGTCTAAGAATTTTCCGCCTTTGGTAAACGAGATTGTTAGACTGCCATCTATCAAAATCATGGTCACCTTTAGGACACTTACGAAACAAATTCAAGTGATCTTTAACGTCCCCACCACACAGTTAGTACAACATGTATCTAACTTAAACATGTCATATATAAGATATATAAGACATGGGCACACAAATATTTAAGTCTAAACAAGGAAAGCTAAAATGTGTTGTCCCCGAGAACTATTTTTATAGGCGTGACCAACCTGATAGTAAGTGGATGCGGTGGCCAATAGTCACCTACATCTATTATCGATTAAGAATCTAAGTGCAGAAGCCTTGTCATTCTTAAGAACTGAGATGGAAGGCCACTGTGGCGGCGCGGTCGTCGCGCCACAAGCGAAACACATCGAAGCCTAAATCGCGCTAACAAAGCCACATAATATCTACTTCGATGGGTGCAGGTGGCTCGAGACCATGCTTTATGGCGTTCTTTGGGGAAGACCTATGTTCAGCAGAGGATTTGTGGAGGGATATAATCATGATGATGATATTAACTAAAGTAATATTACAATGGTGTTTTGTTTTTGAGATGTGGTAGCACAAGTTACAAGACACTTATTAATCTGTACAGTGAACAAAGACCGCATTTATCTTTACTTACGTTTCACAGATCATCCGTATTCTGTATCGATGCTCCGTGCCATCCATTTTTATTTGGATCCTGTCAGGTTACTTTGTAAACAACACCAGTTCGCCGTTCGTCCTTGCTGCGTACGCAGCCCTGGACCGACCAGTATTCTGCCTAATTACCGTCGTAGCTATGCTCGGATTTATAAACAAAGTCGACAGTAAGTTAATTTTGACAATTGTTTAATTAGATGTTTTATTTATATTAACTGAAATCTACTTCGACATTGTTTATGCGTTACACATAATACTTAGTAGTAAGTAGCTTTGCTATATTATGCCCTGCAGTGGCTGACAAGGAGCTGATGATGAAGTAGTTTTGCACCTTTAAAGCATTTAGTTTAGTTTAAATAGGGCCCCAATTTAATTTTTGCCCCGGGGCCCTTGGTTACATAGCTACGCCATTGATTGCTGCCAAGGCAAGGCAGATATAACAAATGCTCTATCTCAGCAAAAACATTCCACTGGTAGTTAACCAACATAATATATTTTATACGTGGTAGAGCCATGCTGCAGTTATATTATGGTTGTAGCACGAATGGGTCAGCTCGACCGGGGAAGGACCACGCTCTCACAGAAAACCAACGTAAAATAGCAGCTTAACACTGCTATATTTCGTATGGTGAGTGTAGAGACCGGAGACTCTTTTTACTGGAAACGAGGCATTCCATCTTAGTCCTCACGGGTGACAACGCATCTGCATTTTGATTCTTAATCGAAGATAGATGTAGATGTCTATGGGCCACAGTAACCACTTACCATCAGGTGGACTGTGTGCTCGTTTGTCACCCTTATCTTATAAAAAAAAACACATACGGAGTGTGCAGAAAAATTTGTTTCATAATTTCCATAGTGACCAAGATCAGCCCACTCTCTAGCTGTTTCGACTAAGGAATCTAGTCGCTGGTTACACGCTTTATCATCAAGTAATCTTAGCATAAAACATAATTTAGGATAAATGTAGTTTTATATGGGCCACAGCATCCACTTACCATCAGGTGGACTGTATGCTCATTTTTCACCATAATTCAAAATATTACTTGATGAGAAAAACTTGTGCATAGTCGTAAGAATTCGGCTAACCGAATCCTATGCGTGGCAATCTGTCAACGTCATCAGTGAACTTGTGGTAGCGGCGTCGACGAGTTTGGGCTACACGAACTTTCATGTAAGAAAAGTGCTGGTAACGATGTCACCCGAAGAGCTCTTGTCTCTATAAATATTCCCTCGGCTTTAAAGCCTTGTGTAATATTTAGAGACGATGACATGTGACCCGATGGTATAACTTTGATACCTAGGGAGAGAGGTAAAGCTAGTGTAGGATGCTATGTACTTAGACACTTTGACAGGCTCTCATCTCAGGTGTAGTTTTTAAACGTAGTAGAGCCATACTGCAACTATATTAATAGTGTAGTTGTAGTACGAATGGGTCGGCTCGACCGGGGAAGGACCACGCTCTCACAGAATACCAGCGTAAAATAGCAGCTTAATGTTGCTGTGTTTCGTATGGTGAGTGTAGAGAACCGGAGACCCATTTTACTGGAAAAGAGGCATTCCATCTTAGTCCTCACGGCTGACAACGCATCTGCATTTTAATTCGCAAACGAAGATAGATTTAGATGTCTATGGGCCAAGAAACCACATACCATCAGGTGAACTGTGTGCTCGTTTGTCACCCTTATTCTATAAAAAAGTACATCGTTTAAAAGCGGTATCAGAGGCAGCTTAACTAAGTGGCGCAAATATAAGTATCTGAGAAATGATTTCATATTTCTGCCATTTGTTGTAGAAACTATCATTATTTGGGGTGCACGTGCAGTGAAATTCCTAAACGAACTGTATCCATTACTTCTCGTCACGGCAGGTGATAAGGGGGCTGGTTCTTTTCTCGCTCATAGCTAAGTATTGCCATTAAGCGAGGAATCGCAGCCAGTGTTCTTCGCACTACACCGCAGGGAGTAGGACTGTAGTTGATCAAATAAGTTTTTATTTTTAATTTTTTCATTATGGCAATAAACACTGTACATTTGAATATTATGTAAATAAATAGTTTTAAAAATTAAATGGACGGTTCTTTATTTTTGTATATGGCCAATAATCATATTATAAAATTATAGAGCAGCAAAATTTGTCTGTCTGGCCTGTCTTAGTTTCTGTTAATATCGACAACAACAGCTATTTTCTCGTAGTAGAACAGAGATAACTCAACAACAACCGCAACAACGCACAACACACTGAAGGGTACAATCTTAATGTATATCTATAATCTAAATTGAGAAAAACATAGATTATGATGCCGAACTATTGTCTTAGAAACAACAATATACCTACAATATCCAGCTAACAAAAAAAAAACTATTTTTCTTCAAATAATATATTAATGTATCACCTAGGTCTATGGTGGCAGTTTCTGTCGTGGAATGGCTGGCGACCAATCAGTCGCATGTCGTTACCCGTTCTGCTCGTGCATTGGAGCTATAATCTTACACAAATTGCTGTGAGGACGAACCTTACACGAAGCTCTATATTCGAAATTGTAAGTAATTATAATTTATATACTATAATTCAGATCTTGGGCAAAAAAGCGGCTCGGCCGTACCATCCTTTTCTCGATGCAGTTCAGGCCATTTTTGGCCCCCTATAACTTCGTTGTGGATAAAACTAAAAGCCTGAATTTTCATTAACCAAGCAGGTATTGTATAAACACGGTAAAGTCCGTAGGTGTATGTTCTACTAGCGCCTAAAAATCAAGATTTCAACGTTTTGTCGCATGAAATCGTATCTAGAAATCATATTATACATATAAATAATATAAAAAGCACATTGTCAGAAAGATAAAAGATTATTGAACTTATTAATATTTTTTTTAATTATCAAGTCCGCAAGGCTTCGTAAACACGATAACTTTTGAAAATATTAATAGTTCAACTCAATCTATTTTTAAAACTCTTCATCTATCATGTGGGAAGCCATTGAATGTAAATGGCAGTTTAATTTTGTTTTGTTTAGTTATAATTAAGTTTTTTCGGCTGCGAAATGTCGAAGTTTTCGGTATTTTAGCAGCCATGTATGAATTTTATTTTACTAAATACACTGTTTTACCCGTCATTCGTCATTCTGGCCTCGGCCGCCGTTGTGAGTGGATATTGTATCGCTTGTTCGCAGCAAAATATTCCAAAAACCAAATTTGATACATACTTGACCAAGGTAAGATATTATTATTATTTTTATAATCACAGGTTTTTATTACAATATTTTGTTTCCACAAAAGCATACGTCTTCGACAATCAAAGCATACGTAATCGACAAAACGCCTGATAGACTAGGAGATGGTGACAGAATATGTTCTCCTTTTTTTCATTTCATTGTTCATTTTCTCCTGCATGCCTTTTTAAGAATTGATAACTAACCCTAAAATATGAAAGATAGAGGGTTTACGAGCTCTTGCGCGCTTGCACGTCATAAAGGCTTCTCTTTGTGTAAAGAATTTTATTATTTTTCCGTGACATTATATTGCATGCCTTTGTAATATAACAACAACAATAACAATTTGAACAAATTTAAGCTATAATAATTGATGGCATGCAATTCGCAACGGCCGACGGGTCTCAAAGGGTTACGTAGAAATGAAAAAAAAATAGAACAAAACCGTGTTTACAAATTGCATGTCGCTGTAAAAAATTAGTTCTTTTTATCTCAAAATATTCAATACAACTTTTCCGTGATTTCAAACTACTTCTAATAAATAAAACTATTTTTACGGATTTTATCGCGTTTAATTAACTTATTTTACATTCCCGACGTTTCGGTTGCTTTCCAGCAACCGTGGTCACGGGGGACTGAAAGCAACCGAAACGTCGGGAATATAAAATAAGTTAATTAAACGCGATAAAATCCGTAAAAATAGTTTTATTCAATGTGTAGTGTTCGCGTAAATATAAGAAATCATTACTTCTAATAAAGATAAATATTAATTTTATGACAAAATAATTCTGAAATACAAATGGCATACATGTTGCACAATAACAAAAGTTGCAAAAAATTTAATAAACATTTCCGTGTTTTTAATTTGCATGCCGTTTTGCATTTCATAAAAACATATTTGAAGCATATATCGATAATGCGTATTATTATTTTTATTAATTTGCAGTTGTATTGAATTTTCACAACATTTTCCTAATATTTTCCATCCTTGGTCATACGAGGGGTGCATGCAATTTTCGTAGAGTATTTTTTAGATAAAAAAAAACTAATTTTTTACAACGGTATGCAATTTGTAAACACGGAAATGTTCTATTATTTTTTTTCATTTCTGCGTAACCCTTTGAGCCCCGTCGACCGTTGCGAATTGCATGCCATCAATTATTATAGCTTAAATTTGTTCCAACTACGTTATATTACAAAGGCATGCGATATAATGTCACGGAAAAATACTAAAATTCTTTACACAAAGAGAAGCCATTTTCTTTATGACGTGCAAGCGCGCGAGCGCTCGTAACCCCTCTATCTTTCATATTTTAGGCTTAGTTATCAATTCTTAAAAAGGCATGCAGGAGAAAATGGTAGAAATTTTCTGTCACCATCTCCTAGTCTATGAGAAGCGTGATAAATTTTTAAGGCTAATATGTGCTTGTTGTTAAAGGAAATTTTCCTTACAGTCCCCCGATTAGATCCACTGACAAGAGATAAAATTATCTTGTCCTTATGCCAAAGCACGGCAACGGGGAGAAGTATATCCCCATTTGACATAACGAGTAGACATATGGGATACATGTCCATCCGTAGTAGCATAGAGCTAAATGAAAGATAAAAAAATTATACCTTTTTGACACTTGAAAGGGACAATTTTATCCTATTTCATTGGACGTGGGTTTAATTTTATAATTATACAAAAAATCTGAAAACGGTTTCAGTGCCTAGAAGACTGCAATGAAGTGGACGATATGAATGACAAGCTCGTGGAAACTGTCCATGCGGTCGGAGCTAAGTTCTGCAAGACCCGCCGCAGAAGAACACAAAAACTCTCCGATCACACCCTTAATCTCATGGCTGTTAGACGGGAGATGAAGCTACATTCTTCAACAGACTTGACAGCATACAGGCATCTGAACAGACAGATCTCCAAATGCATGCGGCGGGACTTACGCAACTTCAATACAGCTCGTATTGAAGAAGCGATCGAGCGGAACCAAGGTTCCAAAGTCTTTGCCAGAGATCTGTCTGCCAGAAAGAGCCAACTGTCAAAGCTGAAGACAGAATGTGGCAGCATCGTTTCCGGGACACCTGAGATTTTGAGTGAGATTGAGAGGTTCTATGGGCAGTTGTACACGTCATCGTTGGAGCCACACGCAAGTGTGAGTAACGATCCAAGAGCGAGTCTCATCCGACACTATTCCGAAGATATCCCGGACGTCAGTCTGAGCGAGATTAGAATGGCTCTCCAGCACCTTAAAAACGGTAAGGCCCCAGGCGAGGATGGAATTACAGCGGAGCTTCTGAAAGCGGGTGGAAAACCAGTACTTGAAGTCCTTCAGAAGCTCTTTAATTTCGTCCTCCATGGTGGCATTACACCGGAGGCGTGGAGAAGAAGTGCGGTGGTCTTGTTCTCCAAGAAAGGTGACAACGCTCTCTTGAAGAACTACAGACCGATTTCCCTTCCGAGCCGCGTCTATGTGCTGTTTTCGAGAGTCATTACGAATCGTCTCGCGCGCAGACTTGACGACTTCCAGCCTCCCGAACAGGGCTTTAGCACCACAGACCACATACATACCCTTCGGCAAATTGTACAGAAGTCCGAAGAGTACAATTTGCCACTATGTCTGGCGTATGTGGACTATGAGAAAGCCTTTGATTCCGTCGAAATTTGGGCGGTGCTGCAGTCCCTTCAGCGGTGCCAAGTTGACTGTCGGTATATCGAAGTGTTGAAGTGCTTGTACAGTAGGGCTACGATGGCTATCCGAGTACAGGACCAGAGTACGAAACCTATCCAATTGCAGAGAGGTGTAAGACAGGGTGACGTCATATCCCCGAAATTCTTCACCGCTGCATTGGAAGACGTTTTCAAGCTTCTGGACTGGAAAGGATACGGTATCAACATCAATGGCGAGTACATCACTCACCTTCGATTTGCCGACGATATAGTCCTTATGGCAGAATCGCTGGAGGACCTAAGCACTGTGCTCAATGACCTCAATAGTGTTTCCCAACGGATAGGTCTTAAGATGAACATGGACAAAACAAAGATCATGTTTAATGTCCATGTCACACCTATGCCGGTAGTTGTTGGGAACACTAAGCTCGAAGTTGTTGACGAGTATGTTTACCTGGGACAAATAGTCCGACTAGGTAAGTCCAACTTCGACCGAGAGGTCAATCGACGGATTCAACTCGGCTGGGCAGCGTTCGGGAAGCTACGACACATCTTCTCGTCAGACATACCTCAAAACCTTAAAACGAAATTGTACAACCAATGCGTGTTGCCAGTGATGACTTACGGAACTGAGACGTGGTCCTTCACTGCTGGCCGGATGAGAAATCTCAAGGTCGCTCAGCGAGCTATGGAGGAGAGCGGAGTTTCTCTGCGTGATAAACTTAGGAATGAGGATATCCGCAGTAGAACCAGAGTAACCGACATAGCCCAACGGATTAGTAAGCTGAAGTGGCAGTGGGCCGGCCATATAGCTCGAAGAACCGACAACCGATGGGGAAGAAAGGTTCTCGAGTGGCGGCTTCGTACCGGTAGGCGAAGTGTAGGGCGTCCCCCCACGAGATGGAGTGACGACCTGGTAAGACATGCAGGAAGTCGATGGATGCAGGTGGCTCAGGACCGTGCTTTGTGGCATTCTTTGGGGGAGGTCTATGTTCAGCAGTGGACTTGTGAAGGGCTGTAATGATGAATGATGATGATAACAAAAAATCTATCGTAGTCTATCTCCCATTTTATCTACTGTGGATATTATATCCACTGGTGTGCCCATGCTCGAAAGGTGGATAAAACTAAGCGAGGGGATAAACATTTTCTCCTTTCCCCGGGCATAAAATTGTCTCCTGCCCATGCTAACCCTGCAGGAGAGGCAAACATTCAACAGTTAAATTTTACTGGCTGATGGTGAAGAAGAAGAATAGAAAATAATATTTTAATTGCTTTTTTTGCAGGATGGACACTATTTCGTGACTGTATTCATGACTTATGTAACATCCCTGCCGCTGCATCTTCTCATCGAGTTGCCCATGATGCAGTTCTACAAGGCGCTTTTTTCTTAATACAACTTATTACAGTTAATATTTTTTCTAGATAAATTAATTTAATTAGTACGTAAGTATAACGCGTTCACAATGAGATAAGACTCTCGTAGAATGCGACGCCTCAGACCGCTCCACGAGGTCGACTTGCGCCATTGCTTGTACAGCGAGTGACGTTTGTAATTTTCGTTAGATTACCTCACGAAGTAATATTTAAATTTTAAACTTTTTTGCACCGCTGCGACGTCATCAGACTTAGGTCTCATGTTATCAGACACGAGTAGTATAGCTCAAATATAAAGAAAATATTTACGTATTACATACATTGTGCGTTAGTTGTAATAAAACAATTACCTTTGTGCAGCAAACCTGTTATTATATTTCTACAATTCACCAACCAACCTTGCTCACCACTGAATTAAATGTTGAAGGCAGCTGGTAGCGTGACCAGCTGTTTTCTACCGACTTCAAAAAGGAGACGGTACTCAATTTGACTGTATGTTTTCTCATAACATTTTTCTGGGTGAGCCAATTTCGATGATTCTTTTTTATTTGAAAGCTGGTGCTTCTCATGTGGTCCCATATATTGCATTAACGTCTGACCAATAGTTTTTGAGTTATCCTTAATAATTTATATTGAAGTCGGTTGTACAAAATTTTTAATTTTACCACTTGTGGAGTAATTATTTTATAATAGAAAGTAATAAGGTTTGAAAGTCATTATTCTTAACCCAGCATCAACTTAGGTAGTTGCGTGCTGCCACTGTACCAGAGATGACGCAAGGCGTGGGCGACGTAAGCGACCACCTACGGCCTCGGGGCCCTTAGGACCTTACACCTCGAAAGTTTAAAGAATTTTCTTTCCAGGAAAATATTAATCTAGAACCACGAAAAGGCAAGACATCTATAATACACTCTGATATCTGCAACGAACATTCATCCAGCGATACGTCCCAAATTTATAATTAACCACGTGCTCGGCGGTGAATGAAAAACTGCATGTCTCAGAAATAAAAAAAAAACATTAGAAGACATATGAAGTTCGCCAACACGCATTGGGGCAGCGCGGCGGACATTTTCTTGCCCTAAAACCCTCTCAGAAATGAGAGGAGGCATGTGCTTAGCAGTGGGATGTATATAGGCTGTAACTATTTTTTTATTGGATAGGGTGACAAACGAGCACACAGTCCACCTGATGGTAAGTGGTTGCTGTGGCCCATAGACATCTACATTTATCCTCTTTTGCGAATCAAAATGCAGATGTGTTGTCACCCGTGAGGACTAAGATGGAATGCCTCTTTTCCAATAAAAAGGGTCTCCGGTTTCACTCACCACCATACGAAACACAGCAGTGTCAAGCTGCCATTTTGCGCTGGTATTCTGTGAGAGCGATAACTACACTACAACTTTTTGACTATAATGTTCAGTTTAACCTACGTAGTGTCTGCCAACAGTAAAGTTTACAACGCTTAGAAAAAATATGTGTTCATGTCATACCTATACAGGTGGTTGTTAGGAAATTACGCTCACAATTATTGAAGAATGTATTTGAAACTGAAGGAAAATATGGCGTTTGTCAATTTAATGTAAATAATGTAAAAAATATAAATGTCGTTAATCTATCTATGGAATACTACAAAAGGATATTTTAATGATTTTGATATGAGCGCCATTATGTAAACTATGTAGATCGTAGTTTTAGTAAAATATTTTCGGCTATTTTATCACGAGGGATACAGAAATTATCCCACTATGCAAATCCAAGCAATGTCAGTGTTAATTTAAAGAATTTCAAGTAAAAAGTTCAAAATTAATTTACAAAATTAACTTATTAAAAATATTGTTTAAGTAAATTTAAGTAAGATTTTATATTTAAATTATTGTCAATTGGTTTCTCTTATAGTTGATTTTTATCACATAACTAGACGACCCGGTGAACTTCTTATCGCCTACATATATTTGTGAAAAGTATGGTCAAAACTTAATACAAAAATTTTACTTACGTTAAATGTAACACAGTTATACATTTAATCAATTTAAAGCTTTCTAATGTTCTATATTTTTTGTCATTTTTTGCAGGGCGTAAATATGTAAAGATGATGGTTTTCCGACTCGCGAACACGCGACGTATAATTGCCCATGCGTGAAACAGGGAAACTCCAAGTTGATTCCGCAAATTTTCAATGACTGGCCTTGCGATTTATTGGAATATTTTACGGGAAATTGTAGGCACTTAAAATCGAATGGCAAATCCGTTGGAATCATCGGTATACGCGGGATCAAAACATCCTCTTCTTTGTATTTTCCCTTGATGATCTTGGCCTCAATTACGTTATTCATTAACTTTTCACAGCCCGTCTCGTTCCATTGTACAGTCGAGGTTGATTAATGTTACGCAGCATAATCACAACAGATTCTTATTTTAATTGCAAATTGTGTTAGTCTAGGCAAATCCAGGGAATTTAAAAACTCTGTGAGATAGTTTACTACGTCATCCTGGTTTGTAACTGTGTCAACTGATTTGTAATAAAACAACTCTCCTGGAAGAAAATTCTGAATGGTCGTATTGATATCATCGACTTCTTTGTTTTGGGTCGCCAATATTACTCGTTCACGCAGCCAATTATAGTTTTTGTACTGTTGTTTTATGGTAGTAAAAACACGCTGAATAAGCTCCTATTTTGAATCGACGAAGTGACAAAAATCCGTGGATAGTGTAATTAATCCGGTCGATACCTTACTATTTTCAATATCTAATAACTGCTTCAAAAACATAATCGCAGTTTGATGTTGTTGCAAAAACACTGTTTGTTGATTGTAGTCTATGTACCTACCGTCACAAATCAGATAATTTTAAGCATACGTTTAGTTCCTCAGCAACAGTTGATCGGGGAATAATTGGAAGAGTCTGACGAAAATCATCTGACAACAGAATCATGGCTCCGCCAAATATGTTTTCGTTGTCACGTAGATCTTTTAACGTTCTGTCTAGTGCCTCCAGTGACCTCTTATGGGTCATTGTATATTTATACCAAACGATTAATTTACATATCTGTAAAATACTGTTTTTGGCGATGTTGCAAACTGCATTTGCATATCAAGGAAGTAAATTTCACCAGATCCACTGTTCACAGCTTTCATCAAAATATCGTAAACAATTTGATCGAACTGTTTCGGCCAATACTTCAGTACCGTATTGTTGTTTTCTTTGCAACTCGTGGTTAAATGCATCGCGCATGGGACGATTGGGTGCTGTCATACCCAAACATGACAGTACATACTTTATTTACCATGAATTGACACATATCTTCTATCATGATCAATGTGTCATTGTAAAGGAGTTGTATGAAATTGGGTTCTTGACATCGTTGTAACAGTTATACAAAAATATGTAGGTAACATAAAGATAAATTATAAGCATAATTAAATGGTTTTTATTTCTGTAGTGTATGGGACTGGTAATAATGAAACGTTGAGGCGAATCTGTAGAGATTAATACTGAATAAAAAAAATCTTTTTAGAAAATTGATTGAATAGGCTACGTTATTAAACTAAACAAAATATTTTAATAATATCGGACACAATTGAATAGGCTGTATGGTCGTTGATCTTTAAATCTTTAAAACTAAGATATATTTAAACTTTGTTCACGCCGGGCCCAAGCTTGTATGGCACCAAGTTCATCTCCTTTGTGCAGTAATTTGTAGTGTCGGATTCAAAGTTCGGCAACGCACACGATGCAACACATCCTCAGACATGTCATCCTTGTGTTTCATCCACAAATCTTCCGCATTCGGTGGGAAACATGTCGAATTATAATCGCAAACAATTTGCGAATTTGATGTGTCTATAAAGATATGACAGAATCATTAAACGTGTTATCCTAATGTGAATCGTTCTCAAGCAACTGTAGTAGTTGACACGCCTCACGGTAAATCGCACACAAATATCCATCAACTGTTCTCAGTTGTTGAAACGATGTTGGACAACGAACATTCATCAACAATAATCGAACATAATAAGATTCATAGTTATTTTGGATGTACTGTCTACACAGTAGTACACGCATCTACATGCAACCTAGAGTCAAATATATTTGGATGTCCTTCAACTAGTGTTCTTCGTTTCCAAAGCTGAGCCTGACGCCGAAACGATTTCGATGATGCGTTCCAGATGTAATAGCGTGGCATATCAGTATACAGCAAAGTGCGAGCAAAAATATCTGTTTGACAAATTGAGAAGAACTTAAAAATCTTAATGTGTTCAATGGTGGACGTGCCGCATTCTGTTGATTGAAATACACTCGTTGGCCTTTTTCGAGATGAAATGCCAAATGGACTACTGTAAAATATCGTGGATCGCAAATGAAAATATGCGCCGAATAGCTCCGTTGCTGCTTATATAGCGACCCATCTGATACTGAGATCCTTCATCATTTGTATTTATTACAGTAAAGATGGCCATGTCGCTACCTTTGTTAACATATTTACATATATACTTTATGATTTGACGGAGTTAGAATATTCCACATTGATGTGAGCTTCAAAAGCTTTGGACAATCCAACGATTGTCTACTTCAAAATGTTGTCGTTTTACCTTCAGAACTACCGATCGTTCACCGTCTGCATCTGATCGCCGACGATACAATGGGTAATCGTCATTTCCTGTGATGGTTTCAGCAATCAGGTCTCTCGGGTATCGCTTGGAGCACTTGCCGTCGACCATACAGAGTTATTATTGAAAACTCCGGAAGGTCCGTGTATCATGTGTTTAGTTTACTGACTTTACTGCATGCAATTTTGGGTCAACTTTTTCATCGGGAATCTCAGCTGAAATTATTGAATCAATTTCATTTGACCTTATTTTTCAACTAATCAAACTAATGTATGCAGATGAGGCAGGCCACGCTTTTGCCACATAACAGAGTACACCAACAACGGACTTGGCCATACACACGATGTTTTATGATGAAATTCATTAGAGATTTCAATGTTTGTTAAAAAAATCTCTCTGTGATGTCA